GTAGTTTTTACCAGATACTCCTTGCACACAAAACCACTAGAAATTTTTAGTAGTTGACTTCTTTTTTTAGTACAGCCCAAAATAAAGATCAACACGAATCTTCAAAGACACTGTGCAAGAACTGTTTGTGTGAAAGGTGGAATCAACATGTTCTGTACTGTCCAGTGTCGGAGACACAATAAGCTGTCATCAGACTGAGTCTGCAGACCTTTCCTGTATCAAGTCCATATGAGAGTGCTCCTGCTGACACTAAACATTTTCTAATGTAATGTCCAGTAAAAGTCATGTTTTTGCATACTAGTACATTTATTACTAGTCATTATAAAAAAAGCTTATGAATTTACTGAGAGCAAAGGCCTTCCCACGTTTGTAAACGTTTTTCTGTTTTGTCGCAGAAGTTTTGGCATTTTGGTGGCTGACTTTGGACTTGGCCTGCTGATGACAGCTGTCGTCAACCTGCCCCTGGATCCTTTTCTCAGGTTGGACCGAGTCAACATCACTTCTAGTCCACTCAACGGACATTCAACAGACAAGCACTGTGCCCTTGTCATGCAGTGATGCTCCTTAATGGTTAACGAAGAAGGTCTGTGAAGATGAGTTTTCGGTACATCTTAAACTTTCAAGGTTGTGTTTGCATACCACCTTTTAAGCGATGTCATTATCTTAACAAGCACTTCTTCAACGACGTTACTTATGTTATATTAAGACTTAATTTAAGTATACGAGTGTTTTTTCTGATCCAAAGGTAGGTGTTTTATTTCCATCAGGATTGACTTGTCTAGTCTCTAGTTGGTGTTTCCAATTTACAGGACCAGAGACAGTGCACGCCGGCACAGCGGGTGACCAGTCACACAGTCTGTACGTTAGAGTTTTACACACCATGCTTCACATGTGCACAGAGACACACCTCTCATATCCCCTGACTCACTTTCCTTTACTGTTACTTTATAGGGTGAAACATAATACATGCATGATTACCGTGCAAGATACAAAATCGTGATAATGATCTAGACTGATGGCCCTTGGGCAGGATTCCGAGACTTTATGAGGATACTGAGTTCCCAATTATCTCTGGTTAGGATGCCTATCATTTTGTAACGGTGTAAGTTGTAACCCCTATATATATGCTCATCAGCAGAACGTACTGGGCCTTGAAGAAACTGTTTCTCACTGTTTTCATTGGATGTTTGGTCATGTTGCATCAGCATTTTGCCCGTTGAAGATGAAATCTTTTCCGACACAGCATTTGCCCAAGTGCTATGCACAGGCGCAGTATGTTCTGGCGAGATGCTCTCTCTAGTTATATATGGTGTTTCCGGTGGCATACGAGGTTGGTCTGTTTGGTGCCATTGCATTTTAAACTTGTAACCGCCCTTAAAACGTCCAGACAGGAGGAATAACTGTATCAGTGGGGAGGCAAATGAAGGGTTCATCACAACCAGGTGTTAATGGCTCCCTGCTGGCACCCACCTCATTCTACCCACCTGCATGGCCTATCAGTCAAGCTGCAGGAGGTGCTAAAACCATGTAAATGCTGCACACCTAGGAGATAAAGCTGGGGCAACAAAATTGCTGGGCCTTGAAAGGAGTTACCTAAATGGACAAACTGCATGTATGCTTTGTGTGTTGGTACAGTACAAGCACTAGATGGAAAACATGTGCACACTAGGGGTTTTATGTACACACTATAGTTTTCTTGTGCACAATATGGTTTTACATGTATACACCATGGTTTTCTTGTCCACACTATGGTTTTTTGTCCACACTATGGTTTTCTGTTTTTTTTTACTCGAGTGACAAAAGCACTGTTCCAAATTTTTAAAAAGTTACCATCTACACACATGTAAGTATATATTATTCGTCCACTACATTTTCATAATTGCATGTTCTCTGTGCAAGAGGCAATCATACTGTCTGGTGGCAGTGAGACATATGGGATCGACTGCAGCGTAATCCTATTTTACAGACAGGTGCTAGGCAAGGTAACACCTTGAATTTATGTAAAACTAAAAGCCTCTTCAAATTTTCACAGCATGCTAGCACGCCATACATGCACAATTATGAAGAAGGGCACGTACATGCACTAGTGCATGAGGATTAATTTTAGCCTTATTTTTCAATTCAGCCCCGCATCCGAATTCACAAATGGGAAATGGTTACTTTGGATTTTGACAAAAGATAGACAGCCTATTTACCGTGCACGTGTACCGTGCATATGTTGACAGAAGTGCGTGATCAGCTTGGGTATTAAGTGCTAGACTTGATTATGATGATCAAATGCTGTAATATAGGATGGTATGTTTTAAAACATGCAATATTTTAAACGAGCCTAAGAGAGAGCAACTTAATTCCTACAATCAGGATATGTGTTTTTTATCTCCTGTATTTTTTTTGTCAAGTCTGGATAAATAGATTTGCAAGCTTTGCCCGCTACTATAATATTTTACCTGACATCCAAGACAATGGCAATTCTAATTCACATGTTTCATACTTAATCCAACAGAGCCAGCTTAGACATTGTATCCTGCAATATTTACTGTACTTCCTACTTCAAGTCAATAGCCCGTAACAGACAGGTGCTGAAACAGGTGGTTAGCCTCAGGGCAGATGGGACGATAACACCAGCAGCCCCATTACACATGAACCTATAATAGTTTCATAGCCTACAGATATGACTGGAGCTATCAACAGCTATTATTGTTCACATAGTGGTCAAGGGAACTTGTCATTCTACTGTGGGAAAGAAAAAACTGTGTCTGCTTTTCTCTCTTTGAGCTTTTTCTGGCTGTCTAATATTACTATGATTGCACAGAATTTGAATGAGCTCTGAACAAAGCTTTGTAGTTGTAAAATTTGAGCTTTGTTTCGTCACAAAGGAAACACTCACCATAAATTTTACAGCTATGGATTCTACAAACAGAGATCATTCGAACAATGCTTTATGTTCTGGCTGAATCTAACTCATGACAACCCGGCAATATCAATATATCTACTAGAGATTCTCCAAAATGTTCTGTCCATTAAATATGAATCTTTGTCTAAATTTTATTTTTACGACCTCTGACGTCTCGGTACTACGTGCATGTTGTGTGTGGTTATGTAGTGTGTAGTTAAGCCTTACCATGTTGTGATGAAAGTAGTTTGTAGTCAACGACTCCAGGAAGAATAGTATGTATGGCAAATGATGTCTGTACAAACTAATGGAGATCGGTCTAATAAACAATAAACAGTTTTGTCCATTAAATGACATACACCAGACTGTTGTTAATTGTTCTTTGACCTCATTGCGAACATGTAAAATTCTTGTACTAACTCCATGACATGTCATCATCAATTCAAACTGTGCTTTGTTATGCTGCACGCCTATTGTTTAAACCTTAATCCTTCATCCATTTGACTATCATGAACATTAAAAAATCATGACCAATCTTGTAGAAGATTGCCAGGCAAAATAAATTATCAATCAATGATGTCAAAACTTTGTTTTGATTTTGATCCTACTTTTGTAGGTCCTTTATTCCCTTTTTATTATAAAAAGAAAGATGAGGTTTACAGTATGCATAACAAGTTTATCAAGGGTGACATTCGAAGATAAAAAACCTCTCCTTCAATATTGGATCATATCATGATCTATGGGTAAAAAAATAGGTCTTCTATTCTAGTTCGTCTTCTTGTTTCCAGTTAAGTTGTGTACTCATTAAACTTTCAGAAGTGGAAAACAAAAGGGGTTTGCAAATGACAAGGGAACATTTCTGAAACTCCACCTGTGGATAACATTTCAATCAATTGGTGACATCTTCTATAAACAAAGGTATCTTCTGCCTTTAATCACCCATCCATTTCAAACCATGAAAAAATAATGATCCAGTTTTGGGACAATGTTATTAAGGAAGACGGAAGATGTTTTTAGATTAACCGTTTCAGTGTTTTTTCTGCGGTTACATTTTTTTCATTGCTCAATCCATTAGAAAGCAAGAAAACAATCATCACAACATGATTTTTAAAGAGGGCATTGATAGGGTCCATTGACCAGCTGAAAGGCATAAATTCTACAATGTTATTTGAATATTTCACATCTGAACAGCAAATACTTTTTGCTAGAATTTTTTTTGTAGAACAAAATAAAAATCACACCAAACATTTTTGCTTGAATTTCTTTAAGTCAAACCTCTGTAGAAAAAGGATGATTGTGAGTTATTTACTTAGGTTACAGAAAAGGTAAGCAAACTTTGTGAATACAAATCACCTGTTCTTAGGTAATCCTTTCCATTAGAAATGATGACAAATACTCATGACACCTTCCTGGACAGTGTAAGGAAGATCAAAGATGACTGACTCCTTCCCTGAATTTGATATACTGGGAGAAGATAAAGTTTCAGCCAATCGCTACTCTCCAGTGGCAAATGATACTGACAGCCGAGATTTGGCTTCGTCGGAATGATAAAGTAATTAAACAAGACAGCTTACATGCTTAACATTGTGGAAAATTGGGGACACCTGAAATTTGGATCTTTACAGCATACGTTAAGGTGCATGTGGTATAACATGTGTATCACAACTGTTTGTTTTATTCGGACATCTATTAATGTTAAATGTCAAACACTATTCTAAGGTCTGTGCGGCTAATAAGAGACGGGTTTGCCAGGCCTCCATCCAGATGATTTGCAGTGAATCACCAACTTTCAGAGAGTAGTATCATACACCAGGGCATGCTCTTACTCTTTTTCGCAAGGTACTACACAACTAAAAAAAGAAGTGTCTGGCTGAGGAAAAAACTTTGCAGAGACCTTAACCCTAACACACAACTGAGAGTGATGGAGGCAGACGATTAGATACCACCGCATGCAGTGCCCCAATGACCCTGACTTGGGGGACCAAGGTACCACAAATAGATTAGAGTGTCAGACTGACAGTAGTACTTAATAAGATGGTGACTCTTGCAGCATGGGATCGTACTACATAAATAAAAAGAAATGTCAGACTGACAGTACAGTACTTACATAAGATGGTGACCCTTGCTGCATGGGACCCGATGGGGCTGGGAGGTCCAACCTGGCACTGGAACTCCGCGTCGTCTCTCAGGTTCGCGTCTGCAATCTGCAGGTTGTACTCGTTAGCCGCCCTGTCACCCGTCAGGGTGTAGCGCGGAAACCCCGGCCCGATCCTCTCCTCGCCCAGCGCGAAGCCGTCCTTCACCCACTGGAGCATCCCGGCCTTGTCGCCGACTTTGCACTTCAGCAGGACGGTGCCTCCTGCCAGGACCTGGGCGTCCTCCGGCTCGGTGAGGAAATACTGCTGGCAGTGGACTGGAACAGAGTGGCAACACACAGATGAGCACACATGGACTTAGGGTAAGGAAACATGACAACTCTGGCCTACCAAGTACGTAAAAAAACATGCAGTGGTAGAAATACTTTTTTTCAGAGTGCTGCAATATTGCAGAATGTCAAAGGTTTGTTCGGCAACTCAGAAATACTTTCTGCAATTACTCACTTAAAAGTCCAGATCTAAACACCCACCTGCATTTTGCAGAGACATTTTCAATATTTTCAAACTAACCAACCTGCAATTTTGCAGACTGAAAATCAGGCTAGGGGTTCAATGGTGTTCAAGAGCTTTTGTATTTACAACTGACTCTATAATATACAGGTAATTTTGCATGTAAAATGATTGCAAACATGCAATTTTGTAATGTGTGGTTTTGCAGAAAGTATTTTTGAATTGCAGAACAAAGTTTTGACATTTGGCAATATTGCAGCAGAAAAAACAGTATCTCTACCACTGGAGTAGCAACACACAGATGAGCACACAGGGACAAAGGATAAGGAAACATGACAACTCTGGGCACAGACTTCCCTTCCTGCCCTGCGGTAAGCCGTGACTAATATCACTAATATTGCAGTAATGGCAAGGATTTGGAAAAGGTGGAAAGATATCCTGCTGTGTAGGAAAATTATTGACGTTTTAGAAATTTAGAAAAAAAGTGTTCAAGAGCAATTTTTTCAATTTGAGAGCAGCACTCAGGGAATAAAGGTCACAAAATTACCACACCAATATGCATTGAATATGCATAATTCAAGCAGACATTAATGATATGCATGAGACTTCATGAGGACTAGAAGGTAGCAATCCTCCTTTTCTTCTAAAGCCACTGCAAACACGGGGAGTCTGGGTGAAATGTTCTAAACAGGAAGCATTTTAAGAGATGTGTATCTCCTAGGCATTGATTTCTTCATTTACAATTCAGACATGCACAATTGAGCAAAGGCAACAAGACCTAAGCCAGCCTGAAGCCCCATTCCCTGCTAGTGTAAACTATAGGGCCAAGCCCCTTTGTCAAGTTTGGCAGAAAGCGTGCTCTCTCCCCGCGCAGCAGCTAGCACTCTTTTAACTCTTCAACCAGGTATGAAATACAATAATACGGTAGCCTTTCAGCCTCGAGTGGCTCTCTGTGTCAACAACAGGGTTTGGTGTAATACACATCTGAAACGCGGCAAAGCAGCCATGCGTCTTTGTTATTTCTAGACGCACACATCAAGTGATCTGACTGGTAGTTGAGAACACAGTATTAGTAGCCTTACCTGTTGAGAAGAGTGCGGAGAGAGATAGGAGGGAGAGAGCCTGTAACCACCACCACCACTGCCACCTTACGCTGCAACCCATACTGTCACCTGGAGTGTCACAGGAAGAGAGAGAGGAGGTTGATGTTAGTATTCCGGCGTGCGCCCTTCTCTGTCACCCAGGAACTCATGCAGCAAATGTGACTAAGAAAACATTTAACTGCCACAGACCAATCTATCCTGGTATTTCAGTGATCCTGATCCAATCAGATTTGGGACAGACCATGTGGGCCTGACGGGAGGGGTGCTAAGGGTTGAGGAAACGAGTCACACATGTTTCAAACAACTTTTTTTTTTGCAACGCTCTACAGGATTGGTACTAGTAGATTGGTACCATCTGAAGGACGGTTGAGCAAGTCTGATTACAGTTACTTGCTGGTGATGCAAATATGTTGACTCGGAATGTCGATACTTTGATTCAATCGGGATGCTCATCTTGCACCCTCCATGTCCTAGGATCATTGAAAATCGACAGCCCCCTGCATGCATCCCTGACTCTTATGGAAATGATAGGACAATGCCATCATGCATACATAAATACCAACTTGAAGCCTCGGGGGCTGTGCAAGTACTAGTACACATCGGACCCGGTTCATTAAAATGGACACAAGCTGCTGGCTGCGACTTTGATGTTGCAGTTTTTAACACCCCTGTCTCTCACGTATCTACTCTCTGTAGACCAGGGTGATACGGTAAGACCGCCCTGAGGTGTAGTACTAAAATTGGGGAGGATCGATTCAGATATTAGGGATATTCCCGTGTGGGGATTGAACACCAGCTCATCCCTGTACATGGTGGTCTGAGGGGGAACAATAGACGTCATGATTCTATTGTTTCTGGAGAGGACAGTGCATAATAACACCTGCCATCCCTTTTACTGGGGGACACAAAGCCTATTGCTACTCCATCATCCAATTAGGTGGCTGGTTTTTCAATAAAAAAACAGCAATATACCCTTTCCAAGGTGAGCCTACATGTAGTTGTGAGGGAGCATTTTTACCGTGCTATATTGGTTTCATTTCGCTGTGTATATTACTGTGTCAATTTGCCTCAGGGATAACAAGGTTGAGCGTGAAGGGTTAGAAATGCAATCTACCCCTATTTGTGTTCAAAAGGAAAATTACGGAAGAACGGAAATATTGTGTTAAATGTTTTGCCAAAATTGCTGGACAGTTTCGAGGGGTGAAATGTTTCATGAAGGAGGATGATGCAGTTCACGGCACTGTAATAACCACTTGATAACAGTGCTACCAAATAAAAAATTTCCCTATTATTTCCCTAATAATCAATATTATAAAATATTGTGCAAAAAATATGGTCATCGGGATGCCTATCATATTGATACTTCGCCAGTTGTGCTGATCACTCAAAACTTAATACAAATATTGAAGGAAGCATATCGACCGTGACATTGGCTGTCATATTAGGCATATCCAAATTAACAATAAATCTGGGGGAAGTACGGACAATAACTTTCCAATTTTGGCAGAATCATTACCGCGTTATTAGTGCTGCTACGCCATAACTGGGCCGGCGAATGCGAATCAGGTACAGCGTAATTGATGGGGTGGCGATCCAACCGTCAAAAGGAGATTTACAAATAAATAATGAAGGGTACACAACTCAGGACAGCTGTATAATTGGGCAGCGGATTATGACGAGGGGAAATATTATTAGCTACAATAAGTAATACCTATCCGGGGCGCATGCAATAACTTCTCGTTGCCTGGGAGGCAATTTTGCGAGGCCCGACGAGCCCTGGATGCGGAATGACCCGGACGACCTGAATTTCTCTCGGAGGAGTTGAGGAACATTCTGCATCCCTTTCATCTCTCTCTACCTTATCTTTAGCAGCCAGAACCTGTTTATGAGAGGCTGCGGCAATTAAGCTGATGACTCAGATTCAGTATGCTGTTATTATACAATCATGCAAATGATGCAGCAGCTTTTTGGTACAGATAAAGCATAACGATCTTCTCTTTTCTACTATCGTTATTACTGGGGGAAAATAGCACATTTCTCAGACTGACCTAATCTGGAGGCCTCTATTGGTGACCTTTGAAAGAAAACACAGTGGAATACATTAACTCGACACACGTCAGGTGAAAAGGTTGCATATGCCATAGTTTTAGAGATCACAGACAAAAAGCGTAAACAGTCTGCAAGTCTCATTAATCTCTGGCATTCACCGAACAATCGTTCAAATAATCTGCACTGTTTCAAAACCTGCGAGTGAACCGTTCAGGACAAGTAGGAAACTGGCTTCTAAACACATTTACCCCGACAAAAGTGTGATACTTATTGAGTTACGCAACTATTCAATACAAAACACGCTCCCACACATACGCTTCGTTAGAATCAATGTTCGGGTCACTAACAACATTTCCGTTAAAGGTACGCATGTACAAAGGAAAGAAAAGCAAACAAATTCAATTTGAAACCAACATAACCACATAACTCACCAATATCTGTTAGCACATCAGTTTTAACGAGGTCAACTCATACGGAAGAACAATACTCCTATGCATTCAAAGATGAATCATAAGCACCATTAAGGAGATAAGAAGGATGCACGTATTAGTAATCTTTCGAAAAATTTATAAATTGCTTGGAAACGAGGATTATCTTGGGCGTTGTCTGGCACAGAATAGGGCCGTCCTGTCTGTTCCAATTTCTATTCATTTTACAGGGGGAAACCCCGCCATTTCTGCAAGATTACCCATGCCCACACTCACCCATCTCCCAATTATCTACAGGTATTTCAAATGAAGTTTCTAGCACGGCTTGCGGGGGCTATTAACCCCAAGTCAGAGTCCCTGAATCTGGGACGTTATCTTTCATCAAAAGTCCATCCTAGGCCTGCTGAAGAAATAGGGGTGGGATGTACATGCAATAAAGAAATGGGCAGGAGTTTATATATAATAGACAGGTCAGACATTGGTGCTTTTCCAACAATATTTTCCTGTCATTTTTAGCAGCTTGGTTTTGTGCCAAATCTAAATCAAAATGTGACCACTGTTAGTTATGCTTTGCAAGTCAAAGGTTGTACCTACTCCATTAACAATTCATTGCTATAAATATGAAATTGGTAAAGACAAAAGCCAGTTATAAATTTTGATGCACACTTGGAAAATAACAGACGAAGAGCAATAAAAAACGATAACCCCACTTGTACCTACCATAGCATGCAACCGCCTTTTACATATACACAAGAAAAAGAAACCTTCAGACAAATGAACTGGCTTAGAATAGCTCACCAAGCTTTTGTCATGAATAAGTCATTGTTTACAAGATCTCACTCTCAGAACAACAAAATGAGGCTGGCTGAAAATCCATAAATTATACCTGTTGTTTTTAGTTGTTTACCATTCAAGTACAATGTATGGTTCTGCTGCCTCTTGCATTACAAAAAAAGCAAGAAAAAATTTAAAACAATCTTCTTATCATTACTTTTACACTTATATATCCTCTTCTTTTTTATCCATATTATATTACATCTGATAGAAGGTAAACCATTTTCAGATTAATATGAAGCATAAAATACTATATATATGTTATATTGGAATATATATGTTATATTGGACAATCCATATCCACCTACAACGGTTATCAATCACATAATCGCAAAATATGACTTACATGTTAGGTGACAAGATTTAGTATATTCCATTATCAAAGGTAAGAAAATATCATTTCCTATTTCCCAAGTTTTAATACCCCTGAGCAAATAGTTTTAAATGGAAAACATCTACAACCGATAAGTCACGGTCATTCATTTTTATGGTTATCAGTAATGGTTTCTCAGGGTTTATGGTCAGACATATATTACTACCCGTATCAAATGCCCGAACCACAGTTCCATATATTTCAGGAGTCCGATACAGACAGCGCGAAATAACGGTAATATATCAGGGAAGAGCTCCTCGCACAGAGCACCATTACTCATGCCGCGAGGGTCATCCCGATATTCCGGTGAACCATAAAGAACGTAATAATGCCGGAGTAATTCTGCCTCTACGTTTCGCCCAGGCTGGCTGGGTAGCCTGCATGTACGGTTATGACCTTGTCCAGCGAAGTACAAATACCCAGGCAGTGTCGCCCTGACTTGGAAATCGACTTTCCATACAACTTCATTCCCAGCCGTAATGGGATCGGGAGGCTTCTTTTGTCTGTTGGGCGAGGGACTCGCAAATCATGTCGAATTCACGGTTAGTTTTGCCTTACAATTTACCGTCGGGACGATATTGGGACAACCTTTGGAGACCATAACCAGTCTGCAGAAGAAGGATTTGACTCTTCTGATGCATATGAGACATTTTGATGAAGAGTTTCATGTAGTCTGAAATCCATGGTTAGTTTTGCCTTACAATTTATGCAGATATTGGGAAAACCTTTGCTGACCATAACAGTAATGCACATGTACAAGGAAGCTTCAACGAACATTTCTGCAGCCAATATCATGTAGTATAAAATTCACAGTTGCCTTACAATTTACCGTAATACCGATATTGGAAAAACCTTTGCTAACCATAAACAGCCTGTGCAAGGAGGCTCTTGATACTGGCTACGAAAAATTTTCGTAGCCAGTATCATGTAGTATGAGAATGTAACGCTGTATCATAATGGATTGACATGTGAACTGGATAAAGGGAACATAATGCTGATGAATCTCAGGCATGACATCAGACTGACAGCAGTGACCTTATCATTGGATAATAAGTACAGTACTGTAAATCACCTTACATGTATATTCACCATACTTTTATATCCCCGTTTTTTTGCGGTCACTTCTGTACCGCAAAATCTATCATGCCTACTGCCTACCTGCCTAAGTGCCCAGGCCAGGTACTGGCCCCTTGCTCCCCTCCGTCAGGTTCCTCCAACCAGTTCTGTCAAGAGCGATAGCCTCAGCTACACTTAGAGTAATCCCTGTGTCACTCTATCATTACTGCGAACAAATAATTTCTTCTGCACCTGCTACCACCACAAACATATACTAGTTCCGAACATGTCCACTTTTTTTCAGACCAAGAAATTTTGCTACCGCGAAT